TTTCAAGTATTTAGCGCCATGACATGATGACACCACAGTTAAATAAACGTTAGTAATGATATATGTTAGAATAATATCTATAATATGATTTTGATTGAGATCATGAACCGATTGACGTTAAACCATCATTGAAAACCTGGTTCAATTGTGTAGCGGTACGCATACACGTTGCTACTCAAAGGACTCGAACAAAAGACCTTCGGTCTCTTTTGTAAACGCTTAGTTTGTGCTGGACCACTGAGCTGGCATCCAACGGTGTTACTGTCTAACTTCAACTAATCCACGAAATTGAGTGACACATCCACCATTATCTTCAGTGAGTTACTATCCCACAAATGACTCATGATCTCAACTATTGAAATTACTACAATCTCCACAAAACCCTTTCTGATAAGAATGATATTAATTGATGAGTGTAAATATATTTTCATCACAGTAATATCAATAATCTTGAACATGATGTCATAAATCAATGATTTATTGATTATTTTTTGCGCTTATCAACCTTTTAGTATCAACTTATTCGTTCCTATTAGTTCATATAACTTCGTAATTCATGTCACGAATTGATTTAAATGAAGAACCAATAAAAATCAATCTTCACTATACTATTGTATGGTGGTTGAACATAGTCAAGAAGAAACTCTGGACTTTGGTTTCGTGCTACTTGGCACTCGTCAGCTAGGTTTACCTGTAATCTTGAGGACACTGTTGCTTCATGACTACCTCCAACCACAATCTTATATCAACATAGTGCACGCAATGTTGAATTACCTAGACTAGAGGCCACATTACAACTTGATCGATAGCATTCGATCTGCACTAAAAAGGACTTGACATACATGACATTGATCAACATTCAGTGATCAATAAATTGTGATACTATTGTTTTAACTGACTATAAGACTCATTACTATTATCATGGCTGTGGTCGTACTAGAAATCAAACTTATAACTGTTATTCTTCTTCGTGAATGCTTAATCATTAAACTAAGGAGTTGATATTTAGCTAGTCCATAATACTTACTTACTTACGCCTGTTACTCCTCGTGAAGGAGCATAGGCCGCTCACCAGCATTCTCCATCCAACCCTGTCCAAAGCAATCCTTTCAAGCTCTTTCCAGTTCTTATTCATCCCTTTCATATCTGCTTCTATCTCCCGACGTAATGTGTTCTTTGGCCTTCCTCTTTTCCTCTTCCCTTCAGGATTCCAAGTTAGCGCTTGTCTCGTAATGCAGTTTGATGATTTCCTCAATGTATGTCCTATCCACCAACTCCATCGTCTTTTCCTAATTTCCTCTTGAGATTGGAAGCTGGTTTGTTCTATCCCACAAAAGACTGTTACTGATGATATCCGGTCAATGGATGTTGATTATCTTGCATAGACAGCTATTGATAAATACTTGTACCTTTTTGATGGTAGTTGTTATAGTTAGTCTATAATACTCTATGGTAATAATTCAATCATATAATTCTATATGTTTACAAAAATCGATTTAAGCCAGACTATCATTAAACATTTAAAAGCACTAGATATAACCATTAAACATGAACACTATTGAATACTGACTCAATAGTCTAAAGATTAAATGTTCTCTTATATGATCAAAGTTTCTAGGTTCGAGTCCTGTATACAGGATTATTGATATGCACTGTTGAGAAGTTTTATTACTAGAATAAAACAATCTTATTAAGAATGATCTAATATAAATTGATTTTATCAATTCAATTCTTTATCTTTTGCCTAGTGATTAAATATTCAATTATTTTTATATAATCTCTATTTAAAAGATACAATTTTCTCTAAATTCTATATTATTCCATCTGAGAAATCAACAAATCAATATTAGATTTTATCGAATTTTCATTTTTCTTTTTTTTTCTTCTTTTTTTCTTCTTTTTTTTTCTTCTTTTTTTTCCTTTTTCTTCAAATTATCCAACAAGATTAAAGTCGGTGTTTGTTTTTTTTCATTATTAAGAGTGTTTTTATGACTTCCTTAGGCCAGTTATCAACAATAGAGCATAGGCTACCAACCAGCATTTTAAAAACCTAATCTATCATGGGCATTCTTTAACTAGTTCTATCATATTGTTGTTTATTCATCTCATGTTTGTCTCCATTTCTTGGCGTAATGTGTTCTTTGGTCATGTTTGTCTCCTTTGGCCTTGTGACTTTATCATGTGACACAGTTGAGTGCTTTATTCAATGTTTGTCCTATCCACTTTCAGCACTTCTTGCTGATTTCTTTCTTTGCTTGAATCTGGTTTATTCTATTCTACAATAGGTTGTTGCTGATAGTGTCTGACCAAAGTGTTCGAAGTATTTTGCATAGAAAACTGTTAATAAACACTTGTAACTTCTGGATGACGGTTTTCATAGTTTTTCAAGTTTCCACCTCATACAGTACAAATGTCTTGACATTTTATTGAGCATTCTGACTTTGGTGTTGACTTGTAGATAGTTGTTTTGAGTTCTATGTTGTTGTTCAATTGTAGATATGCTGTTCTTACTTTATTAATCCGCGCCTTCACATCTGTATCGGATGCGCCGTGTTCATCAATGATGCTGCCCGGATATATACAAACGTTGTTATACTAATCAATTATTGAAGTTTACTAGATACTCTATATTAATAATAATGGTAATAATTAGAACATAAATGACTTTATTTATTTCAATTGGACCCTATGAAATGTTTCAAATAAACATGAACTATGTCTAGTGCCAATTTGTTCGGAATGGTTCTTCACACACACAAAATGACATGATATATGTATGTATGTATGTATGTATGTATGTATGTGTATGTATGTATGTGTGTATGTATGTATGATATTATGAGTCAGTTGAAGTTAGACCACTATGGAAAACCTGGAAGTACTGGATGGCCGTTTCGTCCTAGTATGGAACTCTTCAGACTAAAATTGTTAATCTAGATATGATTCATATGGAATGTTAACTTGAATCAGCTTGTGTGTTAAATGAAATTGTTAACATCCATGATCTCAATAAAATATGGATCACAGAGGACGGCCGTCTCGTCTTATTGTGGGACTCCTCAGCACTACTGAGGAGCTTCAACTGATTCACGATCTTAACCAGTGAAATTACTACAATCTCCATAAAACCCCTTCTGATATTAATTATTCCATTTTGTTTAACAATCCTACAATTCATATGCTTTCACTTTAAACGATTTACTTTACCCGTAACCTGATGATTTATCAGACTATTAATTCAATTGTAGAAATTGAAGAGAATCGATGGAAAAGAACACACTGGACCACTGAGCGGAATCGTGGATGTGCACTGCTAAGGAGTCCCATACTAGGACGAAACGGCCGTCCAGTGCTTCCAGGTTTTCAACGGTGGTCTAACATCAGTCGGTTCATGATCTCAATCAAAAAGAATGGATAAATTGGCACGTCCAGAAACTAGATTAAGTTATATGGAATTAACATAGCAACCGATATTACAAGCTATGCACTATAATCAAATGATAATGTACAATTATTAATAGTAATACAAGTATTAGATTTACATTGTTCTAAGGATTTAACTAAACGAAGTTCCCCTTAAGATTAATAGATATATTTTTTAATATTTTCACAAGGAAGTAGGCAATTTCATTGTTCTAACTGTAATAACACTCTGGTTAATGTTTCTATTTTTAGCAAAGTTGTTCTATGCAGGATGAGGTTGCTAACTGCATACCTAACCCTCCTCTTTTTTATGAGCTTGGGACTAGCAGTAACACTAGATGAGCTACAGGTGGAGTTAACAATAGTCTAGCTTTGACAAATAAGAACTAAATTCATCCAGGAAGCAGGTTTCATGAAGTGAAAGGATTTAAATCTCTTACCTCCACTTATCCTTCCATTTAAAACTCAGATGAATGTAACACATCAGTTTACATTTTGTTTAAATGTTTTCTGATAAAGCATAAACCTTCAGTTCTAAATAATGATGATCTCGGTTACAGAAAATATCCTGTTGTTCACCATTTTAAGCTACTGTGGTGAGACTATACGTATGCGTATAAGATAACAGATCTCGGATTTTGCCGTAAAATTCATTCATTCATTTGGATAAATAGTGTTTTGGCATTAAAGCTGATTTCAGTTCATGATGAAAACCCCCTAAATCTAATTCCTAAGCATAATCATCAACTGTCAATCATAATTATAATTCTTCACATAGATTTATAACCCTTATTTGATTCTAGTTATTAAGTGGACATGGCCGGACACTATTAGCAACAACCTACTATGAAAGAGAACAAAAACAGATTCCAGCGGAGGAAGAAATCAGGAAGAAGTGCTGCGAGTTGATAAAACACACATTGATGAAAGCACCGAACTTTGTCACAAGACAAACCCTCAAATGGAATCCTCAAGGTCAAATGAGGCGAAGAGAAAGACCTAAGAACACATTACACCGGGAAATAGAGATAGACATGAGAAAAATGAACAAGGAGTGGATGGTTCACTTGATTCAAATAAAACAATATCAAGTAAATTAAACTTCACCCCATTTTACATGTAAGTAGCTATCATGACTCAGTAGCTAAGTGCATTACGAGATGGCGGTACTGGGTTCAAGTCCTGGAGTAAACATCAACTCTAAGATGCAGGTATATCTAACTCACGAGTCCCACTACTAGCCACTATCCATATTTGCTTTTAAGAAATAGATAGAACTAGAAAAGAATGCCTAGGACAAAGTGGATTGGAGAATACTAATCGGCGTTCTATGCTCCATTAGGAGTAACAGACGTAAGTATCAGTAACTAATCAAGTGAACACTCTCAACGTCAATTCAGCATCGCCCACAGGTCCTCCATAAATTATAGTCTTAAAACAAAACTATTTGAATCTCTTTTAAATTTTTGGATGATATAAACATTTTTCAGATGCTGAACTCCAGATTCTATTCTTATTTCTTAATTAGTTTACTTTCATGTGGATTAACTGACTTCTTCTTTTTCTTTTCTTTATAGGAGACCAATATTGATTATTTCATTAAACAATTACTTTATATCAATAATATTTTAACTATAAATGGATTCTGATAATCGTGTCATATTAAATGTTGGCGGTATAAGACATGAAACATATAAAGCTACATTAAAAAAGATACCAGCAACACGTTTATCAAAATTAACTGAAGCTGTAGCTAATTATGATCCAATATTAAATGAATATTTTTTTGATCGTCATCCAGGTGTATTTAATCAAATATTAAATTATTATCGTACTGGTAAATTACATTATCCAACTGATGTATGTGGACCATTATTTGAAGAAGAATTAGAATTTTGGGGTTTAGATGCTAATCAAGTAAGTAAATTTAATATTGATATTAATTTGATAATTTGAATGGTATAATCAATTCCTATATTATTCTTGAGTGACATGTTCTTCAACTGAAGAACATATGGTAGTCAAAACAACTGTTTCTCAACCAATATCAAAGTCACAATCTTCAATACGAACGTCAAGGCAGTCAGTTCTACTGTATGGAGCTGAAACTTGGAGAACTAAAACAACCACCATCAAGAAGGTACAAGTATTTATCAATAGCTGTCTATGCAAGATAATCAACATCCATTGACCGGATATCATCAGTAACAGCCTTTTGTGGGAGAGAACAAACCAGCTTCCAGCTGAAGAGGAAATTAAGAAAAGACGATGGAGTTGATGGATAGGACATACATTGAGGAAATCATCAAACTGCATGACGAGACAAGCGCTAACTTGGAATCCTGAAGGGAAGAGGAAAAGAGGAAGGCCAAAGAACACATTACGTCGGGAAATAGAAGCAGATATGAAAAAGATGAATAAGAACTGGAAAGAGCTTGAAAGGATTGCTTTGGACAGGGTTGGATGGAGAATGCTGGTGAGCGGCCTATGCTCCTTCACGAGGAGTAACAGGCGTAAATAAGTAAGTAAGTATACTATTCTTCTTGAAAATTCCCATGATAGAACTATACAACAATCTGAACATGAGAGAGAAGGTTCAATGTATGCGAGAAGCAGTTTACTCTAAAGGTTCATTCTAATACAGAAAAGATAGGGTTTTTGTAATATTTTTAGATGTCCTTGGGTTTCTTAAAGATTTTGGAATGCTATTAACTAAACATAGTAGTAGTATAACAATCAGCCAATCAGAGTATCTACATGTTTCTGGCTAAAACTTCAAGTGAACGTTGATTGGATGGAATATTTCTTAGTGTTTTCTTAATCTTTGCTTGTCTTTTGCGAGAAATTTTCTTGATCACCGCAAGATTTTTTTTTATTAAAAATCATCAACCGATCTAAGTTAGATAACCATCAGAAATTTGAAAGTAAATAGAGTATCGTTTTATTTTAGTATAGAAGTTGAATTCAGCATCTTTGATCTCGTACACAAACGCGTAACCTCTAGATCACATTCAATGATGTTAATGTTTAACTTGAATCAATCCAAGAGACTTCACGAACATCTTCGATTGTCTTCGGTGGGTATAACTTAACAGTGCGACTAGTATAACATTAGACAAATATATATACATTTATATAGGAAATCACTGTTTTCAGTATCTAAACATTAAGGATCTTTGATGGTCATTTTGAAAGATCAGATGGTACAAAAACGATTACTTACTTACACCTGTTACTCCCAATGGAGCATAGGACGCCGACCACCATCCACCCTGTTCTAGGCCTTCTTTTCTAGTTCCATCTAATTCTTGTTCATTTTTCTCATGCCTATCTCCATTTCCCGGAGTAATGTGTTCTTTACTCTTCCTCTCCTCTTCATTCGACCTTGAGGATTCAATGTGAGACCTTGCCTTCTGATGTAGTTGGGTGCTTTCCTCAATGTGTGTCCTATCCACTTCCAGAGCTTCTTCCTCCACTGGAATCTGTTTTTTTCTCTCCGATAGTAGATTGTTGTTAATAGTGTCCGGTCAACGGATCCGAAGTATCACATTCAATAGAAAATAAATGTTTAATCATGAGTGATTAGCTTTATGGTGAATTTCTTAAACTTGTACTAAAATCAGTAGTGGGTTATGAAGATTATGAAGTTTTTGATTGCGATCATGAATCGATTGATGTTAAACAACCATTGAAAACCTAGAAGTACTGAATGGCTGTTTCGTTCTATTGTGGGACTCTTCAGCAGTACACATCGACGATCCCTCTTACGAAGCTTAGAACACAGGACCTTCGGTCTCACGCACGAATGCTTGATACTTACTAAATTTTAGCTTGATATCAAATCGGTAGGACAACACTGTCATGTCATAAGTTTAGTGAAGTCACAGAAACGTTTAATGATAAGCTGAAATTACAAAATGAAATACAACTGCATATTTGACTTTGCTATTTAAATCCTTGTAGTTCTACAGGACGTCAACATAACTCAGATCAAGAACACGTACTTAGCCTGACCAGAACGTAAATATATTTTCACACCAAAAATCGACACAATCCACAACAATGAACAATCAATAGTAAGTGTATGTGTGTCACGATAATAAGGATAAGGGAATATATAACTTATCTGACACCTGTCAGACCATCTACATGTCTGACTAAGCAGACAACCAATCCTGATCATTCTCGCCTACACATCAGTTACGTTCTAAATAAACATTTGAGTGCTACGAATTCTCAACTCCTAGAATTCTTAATCCAAATGGAAGTCAGCAAAGAAAATTCTCTTTTTAACGAAATCAATTACTTAAACTGTACATTTGCATCTACAGTTGTTTAATAAATACTTAAGTCTGCAGAAAGATAGAAAATGTTGCGTAATAATCATAAGGGGGGGGGTAAATAAGAACAGAACTTACTTATTCATGATACCTCTCATAGAAGAGCATAGGCCACTCACCAGCATTCTCCATTCAACTATTTCCCTGGACAATTCTTTCCAGTTATTTCTAGTTGCTAACTATCCTTTTGAGGTTTGCTTCCAATTCTCGGCGTAGAGTGCTTTTTTCGCGGCCGGATAGATGAATAGACGAATGAAATTAATTTACTCTAGACCAATAATCCGTTATCCAATGGTGTTAATGTCTAACTTCAACTAATGCACGATATTGCACGACCATATTTCATGGCCTTAGGTGGGTAACTACCTCACACCTAACACGGATGAATTTTATTGGTCACGGCATCGACACTATTGGATGCTGGCTCAGTGGTCTAGAGGTCAGACGTTCACACGTGAAATCGAAGATCCTGGGTCTGGATCCTACATGCGGAGTCGTGGATGTGCACCGGTAAGGAGTCCCATACTAGGACGGGACTGCCGTCCAGTGCTCCTAGGCTTTCACTGGTGGTCTAACATTGATTGGTTCATGATCTCAATAAAGATAGTCATTGAACCAAAATGAATCCTAGTAAGAGTACAAAAATCACACAAATCATGTTTAAGAAGTGAACATCAATAATATTAATAAATCCTAATGTTCTAGAAAATAACTTTCGAATTTTGTCTTATTTGTTCAACTAGCTATAAGAATATCTTTATGAAATCATTCAGTTACCTAACAGTTTTATGCTCAATTGAGACTAGTTTTATGATGTATTTATCAGAAACTCTACTGGCAGTCGATGTTCTATGGAATTCGTTAGGTTGATGGTTAAACAATAACAAACTAATCAAAGTACAGATATTATGCTAAACATGAAATCAGAATTTGTTGGCTTTCTTATCCATTTTGGGTGTGGTACGTTGGTTCGGCCGTGTTAAAGTTGATCAAGTATTATTCAATGAAGTTGATTGACTTTTCTAGAAATGCTACCCATTTTGCAAAACTCATAAACCCACTGTATGTATATGATTTCATAGAGAAATGTTTACTCCCCAGGTTTCGGCTCATGGGTATCACATAAGTTTGCAACCAAACTTAACCTATGAACTAATATATGTTACATGAACACTGGTAATGCAAACGTTTCCTCTCAAGTATCCCATAGCATACATATACCTATATTCACCCACCTAAGAGGGTAGACGGTCATTCTTGTTTATTAATAATTCTCAAGTGTTTTTATATGGTGATTATTATTATTATTATTTGAACACAGATATTGGTACAAGGAGGCACCAAATACATATGCGCCACACGAAACTCAATTGATTTGTGTGAGGGCTGTGATACTGCCCCGGTGCCCAAACCGGAGCAGGTGGTTTCCTTACGGGGCCACACCCCGAGCCTTTGACCTGAAGATCTGACCCACAAGGCAGTGGAGCATCGTAAGGAGATGCAGTCCCATGGTAGCCGGTGATCAACGATTGGTTCATACGCCATTTGCTCCCTCAGGATTCTGGAGCCTATTTGCACCATTGGTTTGGAATCAGGGTTTTCCAACTCCTTTAGATGGACTCTCCATGTCCACCAACCCGGTTAAACTGCCGGACATTCTCTATACGTCTTCTCAATTTCGTGAACGACAGTAATGCCACGAGAAGGCAATGAGTAGGACTTCTTTGGCAGAGGCTATATACGCGTGACCATGTAAAAGCATATCGAGAGGGTGAGCGGACTCTCCCCACTCTCGGCCATACCAGGGAATTTGGGGGCTTTTATATAGTGAACGTAATATTCTATGGAATCTCTTCTAATGTCTATTATCTCCTAAATACTCTCAAATAAGAATAATCTGATGACAGGAACAAAGTATTTTATAAACAGAATAAAGTCTGATAAACTGATAATGACTACAAAACTATGTACAATATCCTAAAATAAAATGAACTATGATCAGAGAGGAGTTTATGTGGATTGTGAGGACGGTTCATGGGTAAACTCAAGGAAGCTCTAAGAAGCTCAGAAAGCGCCAAACATGTTCCATTTAATCATCTTATGGAAGAATATTCCAGAATCACAATGCCAATAACCCCTTGTATGTGGATTGGATAACTCTAATGATGATTTCGTTTTTTCACTATAAAAACAAAACTATAAATACCTGACAATTTTATATCATAAATGATACTTTTTAGAATAACATTCATTTCACTTATCTTCTGTCTTCTCATTTGAGACTTGAGAGAGTTCTAACGTTTAAGTGCGGTATATCAATAATATAAGCTCTAGATATAACATGGATATTGTTATTTTTTTATTTTGACACATAAGTATAGGTACAGGGAGGCACCAAATACATATGCGCCACACGAAACTCAATTGATTTGTGTGAGGGCTGTGATACTGCTCGGGTGCCCAAACCGAAGCAGGTGGTTTTCTTAAGGGAACAAACACAGAGCCTTTGACCTGAACGTCTGATCCACAAGGCAGTGGAGCATCGTGAGGAGATGCAGTCCCATGGTAGTCGGTGAC